CACACACACACACACAGACGTGTGAGTGGCTTTTCGTAGAGAAAGGAAATAGGCCGCTTCTATCCAGCCGGCCGCCCCAGCTGGAGATAGTCGAAAGAGAGCGAGGACATGCTTGGAATAGTTTTCTCCATCCCCGGAAAGATTCTAGGGCTCTGGACAATCTCCAGTGCTGAAGCAAGAAGAGCACAACCGTCGGGTCAGACCGGATTCTCCTTTCAGATCAAGGGAGGCCTCCCAGCTGTAAATAATACAGCCACAAACATGTCAACAAACCTTGGAAGTTTTAATAGGGGATGTGACACAGTTTTGTTATTCTTTGCAAAACTCTTTTTAATGGGTGCATCCTTTTGTTTTGCTTCTAGTGTGGTTGTCCTAACTAAGCTGTTGTTTTGGAGGTGGTATAGCGCTCACCTCTAAGCTTTCCCTCTGGAGGTGTCTGCCCGCCTCAGGGGCTGCCGTCCATCCCATGCCAGCCTCGGTAAAGTTCATGCATTAAAAAGTAATTGAGAATCGAAAGAGTCCTAATGGGGAATCAAAAGCTTTTAACGGGGGTGACCTAACCGTGGCCGAATGGGAAAGCGCTATAGCGCTAAAGACAATCACGGAACAAAACGGTACAAGAAATAAACCAAGGTTTTCAAAAGGGTGGAAATTGTTTGGGAACCTCTCAGAAGAAAAGGCAGTGGAAGGGGGATTGAAAATGAACTTTATCTGGATGTAAAGGGAAATTCCACACTTCATGGACTCTGGAGTAAATTCCGATATATGGGTGCAAATTTTGGGAGGACATTGAGAGGTAGTGGGAGGGAGAAGGAAGTCATGCCCCCAAATTATGCTGGATTCCACCTTTGCATAGATGGAGAGAGAAGCTCACAGACTGATCCTTATCCCCATGCGATTTACTTGAGGGTCTGCAGATATTCTCACCTGTGGTCGATACAAACAGATGGGGGGAGGGGAGAGTTAATACACCTTGGGAAAGGATGACACCCTAAGTAGGGGACTGGTGTAGAGGGGGGGAGCCAAAGGTGAAGCCGGCCGTTTGCGATTTCCTCTCTGAAAATTTCTCCTCCAACTTGTAAAAAGATAAAGCATGGTGAAGTCTTTACGAGCGCTCAGTGGGTGATAAAAGGGAAGGACGGGAGAGAGCCCAGAGGAAACAGGTTTATTTTAGCAACAGAAAGGGGGGGGGAAGGGGTGGGAAAGACATGTTAAATCCGACCTCTTGCCACTTCTACCACCAGCCTCCAGATTTCCACCTTTCTGGACGGAGAGGTAGGAAAGAGGCTGGGTTTTTACAGTCCGATTCTCAGCCAGAGATCTGGATATTCTGCTGGTTTGGTTAACATCAATGCTTGGGGTGGGTGGGTGGGGATCCTGCTGGGGACTACAAATCCCATTACCCCCAGACAGCATTCCCCCCTCCCATTTTCTCCATTCATAGATTAGGCTGTGTGCCATTTGGGGTGTCTCCGTACACCGCTTCGGTTCCAGTGAGTGAAGGATTTCTATCGCTCCCCGGATTCTAGGCTACCGTGCTTTGCAACCTGAGCTGACAAGCCATCCCATAATTCTTACGGGGTGGGCTCCTTCAGAGGGAAGGGCCTTGGTGCATTTGAAACCAGAACCCAAACACTGACCTCTTTCCCTTCTGTGGAGCCTCCATAGCCATCAGCACTTTATCTCTGACAGCCTGGTGGGGACGGGATTGCTGCAAAGGGGAAGAAGCAAACTCACATTCGTGTCTCGTGTTTTTTGCTAACTTTCCGGAAGCTTCTCACCATCTGTTGCCAGTAAACAACTTCAGGAGGCAATGACCAGGCCCTCACGTCTAATCCGGCAAAGCGGTTCTTAAATCCTCTCTTCAGTTTTTGTCTTGGGAGATAACGGGAGAGTCTTGTTCGCTTCACATCCCAGCAAAAAAACCCACAAAACCCTTAGGTGTAAACGGATCTCTTTACAGCTCCCTTCTCTGCTGGATTTCCTCATCTCTCAAGAGTGTGTCTACCTTCAGACAGCATCCGGCCAGATTTGCGGATATTTTTACAACCCTTGCCTCCAGTCTCCTGGTTTCTGTACATACAATAACTCCAGCTGGCCCGCTTTTAATCCTCTAGTTGTTACCAGACTACAACCCCCATTATCCTTAAGCACCAACAAGACTAGCGAGGGTCTGGGGGAGAATGGCCACCTGACAGCCTATCTGGAGAAGGGGCCCATCTCTGGCCTCCTGCCTGATTTACCTTAGTGAAGAATTCTGTATATCTCAAAAGCTTGCACCCTTTCCACAGTGTTAATCCTAATGATGACCTTTCCCACCTCTGATTTTTTTTTTTTGGCTTACAGCTGCCTCTTTCCAAAGTTTTCTCGCTGATTTGCCTCCGTCTTGCAATTAGGTGATGTATGATTCCTCTTCTAATGATTCCCCCTGCATTTATTTTCTCATTTTTATTCTATTCTGACTCTAAGGAGGTCGATTGATCCAGAGGTCTGGTTACTCGTACCAGGCGCCTTTTCTGTGCTGGCCCCAAAGAAATCCCATATACGTCTGGAATTTCCCTTTGGAGGGCACATACGGATGAGTCCGAAATGCTTTTTTCTTTTAAAAAAATCCTGTGTGACCTTTCCCCTTTTACTCTGCCACCGCTTCTGTTTTCAATCATTTTTAATTGTGAGGGTGGATCTGTTATGTTTTAGCTTCACAGTCTTCACGGAGCAGATTCTGAATGGTTTCTTTAACATTTCCAGGGTTTTTTCTCTCTTTTTTTGCTTTTGCTTTGGGGCCCTTAAAAGCAGCGTAGTAAAACTGGCAGTAAAGGGGGGGGGATCTTAAATTAATTTGAATAAGATCCACCATCAGCCCCTACACAGAGAAAACAAGACGGCTTCTTTTTTTTTAAGCCATGAAAAAAGACCTGCCAGATGACTTTCCTGAATCAAACAGGGGTTTGGGGGGTGGACTAGATGACCCTTAAGGGACCCTTCTAAATCCACCCTTCTCTGAGGCTTGAACTTCATCCGGCGCAGAGAGAAACAGAATGATCCTGATGCAGACCGGAAACTCATCAGAAAGGAAGGAGGCCAGAACAGTAAATCATCCAGGGGTACCGGCAGGCCTTCTCTTCCTGCGGGGGGGGGGGATTATTTTGGTTCTTTGTTTCTCACAAATGAGGTCATCAATTTGGGGGTGTGAAAGGGGGGGACCCTGGACGCTGAGAAATGAATGAACGTGCTTCCCCAAACAGGGTTTGCTTGGCAGTGTTCTGTTGCCTTCCCCGGAAAGCACTTGAAAATTACAGTACAGTAAAATTTTATATGACAGATACACTCCAGCAGCCCCTGGCTCTTTATTTGAGGAGCCAGCGGCTGCAGAAATATTTACATCCGAGCCTGCCTTCTCCTTTCTCCCAGAAATGCGGAGACGTCACTTTGGAGAAGGCAGGGAGTTCCTCTGGCCTTCAGAGGATCAAGAGGTCCCGGGTTCGGGTCTACACGGAGCCCTGGAACGCGCCGTCTTTCTCGGCCCCCATCCTACCTCGAAGGGCTGGCGCTTGTGAGAATCCAGTGGGAAAAGCTGTGCTCGTGAGGGAGTGGAGGAACTGCCAGCGGACGCGTTACAGACGCAGAAATGACTCCCCGAAACAGAATGCTTGGGAAAAGTAGGGAATGAGGAAGACCCAAGAGGAGATGGATCCACTCAGTAAACGAAGCCATGCCCTTGAGTTTGTGAGACCTGTAAATAGGGCTTTTGATAGCAGGGCTTTTGAAAGGTCATGGATTCGGAGGGATGTGACTCCGCCGCACAGGACGACAATAACTTCTATGAACTTTTTGGTCGTTATTTGTTTTGGCCTTGATTGAAACTCGCTACGGCTGTGCTGGGGAAACCAAATTCACCAGGGTTTTGTAAATGAAAGACCTGCCTTCTCTCCTATCTCCTGATGGCTAAGAGTGATGGGATTTGGAGTCCAAGCCCTTTTAGAAGGAACCGGCTTGGGGAAACTGGATTGCCACCCGTCCCGATCTCTCTCTCTTTCCTCCGAAACCTTTGTCAAAACACTCCATGAATAGGACAGTTTTGGCACCGGGAGAGGAGGCGCTTCCGTTGCTAACCTTTAACCGACAGAAGTATGCTCTGGCTCATGACTCAAAGCTGGAAGGATGGGAGCGAAACGAAGAGGGACCTCGCACTTTTCCAACCTGGGGTCAAATCGGAATTGCCGGGTTCCAAAAAAGAGAGAGAAACCACAATTTCTAAAGCTTTAAGAAAAGGAGAGATGCAAAGTCCCTGCTGGAAGAGAAGCCAGCACCCCAAGGAAAACTTTCTGCTAGATTTCTCCTTGCAAGGCTTCGGTTTTGAGCACTGAAAAATGCAAAAAAGGGGGGGGTCTTTTGCTGCTGGAAGGCATATAAACAGTTCAGGACTTGGTGACCTTATTCCATAGCATGGATAGATCTGGGCATGTTGGTCTCACCCTCCACCATCCCCTAGCCATGCACAATGCAAAACAAACTCCCTGCCAGAGGAAAAGTAAGCACCTCAAGGAAAAAAAAGAGCAGCACCCTGCAATTTCCACCTGCCCAGGTAGATTTCTGCTTTCGGAGAGTTCTGTGTCTGTTTTTGGTTTTAAAGGGCAGAGCATTCAAGACTGTGACACAACTCTCCCCCCACATACACACCCTAGAGGCACCCTAAATGACACAATCCATTCCTCCAGTTCATCATTTCACCCTCTCATCCTTTAACGGTTTGCAATGACAAGGAAAAGGGCAGGTTGTCTTCCCCCCCCTTTTTTTTCTCGTTAGCTTCTCTTCATCCTTCCTGGCTCTTAAATGCTGCTTTAAAACAAAAACAAAAAGTTAAATCTAAACTACTTGTCCTTAAATTGGCATGGGAAAGTGTATAAACACAGGTGTCTCTCCCCCCTCCGCCTTTCCCCCCCACTTTGCACGCCTCCCCTTCGACCCCCTCATTTCCTTCCCTGAAAGTCCTTTCTTACCTTTCAGCCCTTCTCTCTCTCTCTCTCTCCAAAGTCATCCGTCAAAAAGCACTCCCGGGGAGAAAGCCCTCCTTTCCCAAGTCCGGAGCCATGAGAAATTCCCCAGGCGAGTCCCCGGGGCAATCCAAACCCAAACTAATCAGAAATCAAAGCGGCTTGCCAAGGAGAGAAGAAGAAAAAAACCACCTCGAAGGACCATCCATATCCTTCCTAGAAAGTCAGAAAAACTCCAAAATGCAAGACATCCCGCCGGCCACGGGAACTCCAAACGCCCACCCACCCCAGTCCGGTTTAATCCTCCTTCGGATGCCCACGCCGAGGAGAACAGATTCCAGTGTCTCCTCTCCACCTGGACCGACCCAAACCTGCCAGGCCCACTACGACGACGAAACATCCCGGCCAAGGCCAGCCCTCAGTGGCATAGCGCTAAATCGCAACATGGTCGTCGTTTTTTTTATTCCCCTGTTTTAACAAAACCCAAAACTGGACACGAGCGGTACCCAGACACAGGCTCCGAAATTATGTGATCCTTGCAGGGATTCGGGGGGGGGGGTCAAAGTTTCTCTCTTTTTTGGTCTCCTGTCTTCTCTCCTCCAGCCTGAAGGCCCTGGCACCTTTCTGGGACACGCAGGTGAGTTCCTTCCTTGAGGTGGATTCAGTGGTGGATCTTGAGCCACGCCGGCCCACGGAGAGTGTCACTTTCTCTCTTCCTTAGCCACGTGCTGATCTTTGCCACTTTAGACAAATCCAAAATAACTGGTCTTTCTTTCTTTCTTTCTTTCTTTCTTTCTTTCTTTCTTTCTTTCTTTCTTTCTTTCTTTCTTTCTATCTTTCCCTTCTGAAAGATTCTCTGGCCCCAGGGAATTCACCGAGCGTTATTGCCACCCCAGAAAATTCTGCAAAAGCCGTCCGGAGCCTTTGCCGCCTCGGCCCGGAGCCTCTTCCGCAGACGCTTGACTGCCTTCTCCCGGCGCTTCTTCTTCGCCAGCTGCCAGCTTCTCAACTCTGCAATCCTTCGGAGAGGCTGGAAGGGGAGGGAGCAAAGTGAAGCAATGCAGAAAAGCAACAGGGGGGAAAAAAACCCAAATATTATTTCTGGTGCTGGGGAAAGCAGCGATGTTCTGGGATCTGTCCCTTTGCAAGAGGATCGCCAGCAAATTCTAATATTCCCCCCCCCCTCTACAATTGTCTTTTTCTATGCAAGTTTCACAGCCTGTTTTCACCCTTTGAGTCTGGAACTTTCAAAGGGGGGGGGGAGGTTGGAATTAAACAGCAGGTGTGTGTTTTTGTGTGTACACGTATATTTGATAGATCCGTTCTTGTCTTCCAGCTTTTTTTGGGGGGGGGAAGGTGAGATGCAAGGATTTGGGGGTGTGGAGAGAAGAGACAAAACCCCACACAACTGAAGAGACACGAGAGGGTGGGGCTCCCCAAAGTCCCTCCCCCTTCGAGACCGAGGGAGTCAAATTTTGACACACACCCCTTCAAAATCCTCAAGGTTACGTCTGTCTTTCCTTAATAAGAGGAGAAAGCACTCTGAAGACATCAGAAGGGAAATATAAAGTTTGTGTGTGTATGTGCAACAGATGATCTGTCAACCTCTGCTTTCCCCCGCCTTCCTGAGACCTGGCCACTTTATTTGCTGTTTGCATGGAAGGGAGCCTGCACCCCCTTTTTTCGGTCTGGGTTCCTCCCCCCCCCAGTTATGTTTCCCGGCAAAAAAAAATACCTGCTCCAAGGGATGGCAAGGAAAGGGTTAAGCGTGTCTGGGATTTCAGGGCCCCCAAAATAGTTCACCTGCCACTCGACTTCCCTGGGGATCTTCGGGGCAAGGAGCCATTCCCACCCATCCACCAAAAAAAAATAAAAAAAAAATCCTGGTGCTTTATTTTGGCTACTCGAAGCTGACCCATTGATTGCGTGTATATTTTCCGTGGAATTTAAATTCCTTGACATTCAACTATATAAAGCTGACCTGGATTTAGAGTTATTATGATTAATACAGGCGCGTTATCCCAGGCGGAGATGGTTTTGCCCATTTAAAGCGCCTTCTGGGGTTTTTTGGAAAGCCAAGCGGCAGGGAGAATTTCGCCCTCTCATTTTCCCACACATGGAGTTTCGCCAAGGTGGGTTGGGTGGGAGACAGAAGCTTTCCAAAGAGAGTTAATTGTCACCTATCCATCTACAAGACGGCATCAGGCCTTGCATCGCCACGAAACGGCGATTCATCTCTCTGACTCTGTGTCGTCTCCGTTTTTGATCTTCCTCCTCCTCCTCCTTGCTGCCTCTGACGCTTCACTGCATTGGAGGTCATTGGGCACCAGCGAAGTGCGGTGGCATGCATCGCGCGATGATTTATCGTTTCTTGAATGCAAGCGCTGTGATTTTCATCACCAGCAGGGGGCACTCGTGTTTTAACCCCACCCCCCAAACCAGGCATTGCCCTGTGCTTTGGGTGATGGAGCAGAGAAAAGCCTGTGATTGCTTTGGGGTCAGGAGCCCCAAAACTGGAACTTTTTCACATACATACCCCTTCCCGTTAAAATGTGGATCCAGATGTTGCCCACTAAGGGGTTCCAGCTGCCCCCGTTCCAGGAAAGGACGGCTTCCAGATGCAGGAAAGGTGGGAGGGAAAGTGGTGGTCTGACCCTCTCAAAGGTACGAGGCAGCAGATGAGTGTTCCTCCCAAAAGAAAATTCAAAGCAGGAGGGTTAGAACAACCACAACTGCAGCTCCCAAAACACACAGGCAAAAATTGATAACGAAAGAGGCCTTTGTTATTTATTTTTTAATGAAATATATATATTTTATCCGGCCTTTCTGCTCCAAAGGACCCCAAGGCGTACCCTGCAAGCAGAAATCTAGCAACTTTCTCCACCAAAGGCATTCCCCGCAAGCAGAAATCCAGCAACTGAGTGCACATCTGGCACAAAGGAACCCCTTTCGGCGCTCACCACTTGTTCCTTGGAGGTGGCATTGCCTCCACGTTGCAGATCTCCAGGCTTCGAGACCCTAGCGAAATATTTATCACCCTCCCTCCTTCCGTCTCCACCTTCCCCCCTGATGGGGAGCTCTGTCAAACTCTAAACATGGCACAGTTTGTGCCCTCCCAGTCTCTCTTAAATGGAAGGCCTTGGCCACTTCAGGGTTTCGGCGTTTCGGTTTTGTTACAAGGGTTAGGATTTGGGGGGAGTTGACAGACCCACAGCCCACAGCTTCCAAAATGGACCAACAACTTTGGTTTAAAAAAAAAAAAAACACAAAACGGGGTGGGAATCCAAGGCTATGTCAGCCTGCTTAACTTCTTTCAGCCCACTTTGTGAGTCTGCAAAATCATCACAAGATGGGGACCGTCTTTTCCCACCCGTGCCAGGACTGAATTGATTCCAGAACAAGGCTGAACAGCTTAGCTTGACAACCTTTGATTCTGTCTGGGGGTAGAAAAAAAATTAATAATAATAATAGGGAGAAAAGTTTCTCTGAAGTTCAGAAAAACATGGGCCAAAGTTTTCTATCTATCCTGGCGGGGGCTTAAAATCTCCCGTCGGCCGCAGCCCAGCCGAGACCAGGAATAACACTGGCCACGGACCAAAAACTGGGATTTATTCTCTTTCTTTCTCTCTTCCAGACCTTGGAGAAGATGAAGGCTCTCGTTAGTGTTGGAAAAACATCATTCAGGCAGCGTTTTGCATCTGGAGACCTGCCGGCCTTCCAAAGGAAAGTGATCCGGAGACCCGTCACCGAACCAAATCACAATTATACAGTTCTAGGAGCCCGCGTCGGCTTTAGAGCCGAGGGAACAAAAGCAATCTCGCCACCTTGCGCGGTTACACAGTAGAAATAAAGGGAGGCATATCCTTTTTCATCCCCCCCCCTTTTTAAGTATTCATTTTTATTGAGTTTAAATTACATAAAAAAAATAAGTGAAGGAAAACTGCAAACAGACAAACAAAAGAGTTTAAAAAAACAAAGCAAAGCTGTGTGAAAATGTAACAAAAAAGCATAAACGTCAACTCAAGCTGAATGCCGTTTTCTGTCGCTGAAAGCGTTGTAAAGCCCTCGATGCCTTAATTAATATGTTTCCCCCTATTATTATGAGTGTTCTCTTATTCTAACGGACAGGCAGAAGTGGCTTGTGATTTGGGGCACTGCCATCGTCAGCTGGGGAGATTAATGATTGGATACCTCAGGGGTGGAGGTCTTTGGTTGTGGAGCCAGAGGTGGGAGTTTGAATCCCCCACAGGGCTTCCTTGGCAGGGGATGATGATCATTCTAGAGGGTCCTTCCCAGCTATGTAGTTCTAAGATGATGATAATGATGATTACTGAACACTACCCCCCAATAGAGTGTCAAAACGACTAGATAGGTGGGGTATAAATAAATAAATAAATAAATAAATAAATAAATAAATAAATAAATAAATAAATAAATCATCATCAAGGATCAGAGCAGGAGAAAAACTCTGCTCCTTCAAGTTAGGGAATTTCTGAGCATATAACAATGATGCAGAGATGATTAAAAGGGAGAATCCCCTTCTGTGCTAAGGATATAATTATAAATTAGCCAGGCTAGCCTTAAGGGATCAAAAGGATCAAAAGGGAGCGACTCGCATTGCACAGCACCAGGTTTAGAAGAAACATCTTAATTTCGAGAGCTGCCCTCGCCAGCGGTGGGGAATCCGGAGAGCCCTCACTCGGAAACTTGGGATGCAGAAACAGCCCCGGGGTTGAAAGAGAGGAGATGACCTCAAGGGGTCCCCTCCCTGGTGTTCCGATCCCGCTCGAGCGCGCAGGTCCCTTGCCGAGCCGCGTCATGCCTTCTCACACATGTGTCCAACATGTGGCGAGGCCCATAAACACGGTCGCCCCTAGCAACAGCGACTTGAAAGCCGGCTCGGCATTTCCTTTAAAATTACTAGGATGGGATGGAAGTGGAGATGGAGGGGGGGTAGAGAAGGGGGAAACCCAGGATTTTGGAAGAAGGAAGGAGAAAGACAGGCTGAACTCCGGTGAGGGTGGGTTGGGCTGGAGATGATGGATGAGGGCGCCATGTGCCGATGTGCGAAGCCCCGAATCTTTGGGCCACCAGGGAAAAAGGTCTATCTCCTCTTAGAATCAGACGAGTTTATTTGGTGTAGCTGAGGATAGGTGGGGTGTACCCCCAGACAAAGGCATGCTGCCAGCCCTCTGTGGTATCCCCACCGGCAAACCCACGCGGCCAAACTGTCCCAAACCAGTCATGCCAGAGCCAGCGGTGTGACGGACGAAACAGGACGGACGGTACAGCAAAGCAAACTTTTGCAGCATCTTAGATTTCCCTCTGTGTTGCTTTTGACTCCACTCCACACGAACCCCGTTTTACCGGAACGACCCTTCAATCTGCCCCGACATCATGGAAAAGTTATCTCCCCCGGGGCCCCTTAAGGTCACCCAGCCCGTATGAGCCCTGGCCAGGCTGGTTAGGGAATTGTAGGTGGAGGCATCGCCAAGTTCCCCAGCGCCAGGCTTGGCTACTGCCATGTACTCCACTTGGGGCTGCCCTTGGCTATGGGCCCAGAAAGGATAACGGCTCCGTAACACAGCAGTGAGATCAACGGAGCATCATAAAGGGAGGGTTCAGGGCAGAAATTTTTGCACAGAAATTTCCTCGGCTTCGAAGGGACCCCATGGCCGCCTCTGCCTCTTCCTTTGTGGACAAACGCATCTAATTTCTGAGAAAAGCACGATCCGAGGGCGGCCCCGAGATCGGAGTGCTGTTTATCCAACGCCTGTCGTTTGCTAATGGAGATCCGAGCCTCCGG